GACTTAGGGATGTTCTCAGTGGCAGCGGGCATTGTATGTATGGCAAGCAGAGCTCATCACCCAACATCTCGAGGAAGATTTTTCTCCTGTGTTTCTTGCGGATATTCCACTGGGGATTTTGAGCAGTGAAGGAGATGTAAGCAGCAATAGCTGCAACATCCAACAGATTGCAGAAGAAGGTCAGAGGCCATCTCACGGTCTGCCTCTTTGACATGTATGCAGGGACCATCTGATCCAGAGAGTCCACACCGCCCTTTGTTTTGTTGTAAAAGATTTTGATTTCTGCTTTCCCGGTCTCCTCGTCGAAGCTGCCATTCGGTACATACTTGACAGGAGGACAACTGCCTTTCCTATTATAGTAAAAATACCTTGGGGTCTGAGAGGCCCCCTTTAGGATTCAGGGGGGTTGTCCTAGGAAAATAGTCATCACTGTCTTCCAAATTATCCAAATAACATCAAAGACCATATTCATGCTTATCAGAGGGTGTTGGAAGAATACCTGGGAGGAAAATAACATCGAACCAAAAGTTTTGTCGAAAATGCCTGAAGTATACCTGTTGGGGTCTGCGAGGCCCCCATCCAAAAGACTATAAACGACCTGAAGACCTAATTGTGTTCTAAGTGCCGTGAAACTCTTTCTTACACAAAATAACTGTTGAAGAAGTGCTCTTTAGGGGCATTTTAAAAGAAGAGGCGTAGATTTCTCGCGACCAGTGTAGATTGTGAAGGTCAACAAGCACGACGTAATACTGTCCCCGGGGTTTTATGCACCCCGCACAATTAATTAGCAAAATGTTATCTTTCTTTTTTTGCATAATTTCTTATTATTTTCCTTAATCATTCTTTGTTGAAATTAACAGAATCGCATAATTTCACATTTTTGGGCTCAGTTTGCCTAATTTCAGAATGATTTTTTTTGGTGCGTAATTTCTGATTATTGTCTTTAATCATTCTTTGTTAAAATTAACAGAATCGCATAATTTTCACTTTTTTGGACTCAGTTTGCATAATTTCAGAATGATTCTTTTGGGGCATAATTTCTGATTATTTTCTTTAATTATTCTTTGTTAAAATTAACAGAATGGCATAATTTCACATTTTTGGGCTCAGTTTGCCTAATTTCAGAATGGGTTTTTTTGTGTGCATAAAACCGCAGGGACAGGTAAAACAATGATAATAATAATAATAATAATAATAATAATAATAATAATAATAATAATAATAATAATAATAATAGATAGCATTTTTATAGCGCATTATCCCCGCTCAACAGCAGGCTCTATGCGCTTTACACTATGCGCCTGAGCCTCAAGAGGGGCGGGGAGAGACAGCAACCAGCGTGGAAAAGCCAGAAAAAATATCCAACCCTCTGATAACTGGCACGATTAGTAAGAGGACCCTTACATGGATCCTGGAGAGGAGGGAGGAGCAGCTGTGGCATTGTACCGCCTGCAATGTTGTCTATTCTTCAACCAAGATGATTATGATTATATAATAATTATTATTATTATTGTTATTATCATCCTTATTATTATTACGATTATTATTATTATTATTATTATTATTATTATTATTATTATTATTATTATTATTATTATTATTACTATTATATTTATTATTATTATTATTATTATTACTATTATTATTATTATTATTATTATTATTATTATTATTATTATTATTATTATTATTATTATCATTATTATTATTATTATTATTATTGTTGTTATTATTGTTGTTGTTTTGATTATTTTTATTCTTATTCTTATTCTTATTATTATTAATATTATTAATTATTATTATTATTATTATTATTATTATTATTATTATTATTATATTATTATTATTATCATTATTGTTATTATTGCTATTATTGTTATCATTAACATTAATATAATTAGTTTTACTGTTATTTATCTTTATTATTATTCTCCCCTGTGTGTCCAGGTATAAACTTTGTGCCATTATTGATACATAAAATAATATGATTTCATAGAACATTAAAAGTTTTTGTACAGCGTATATTTCCGCTCAAAAGCTAGCTCTGTGCGCCTTACAATCGCCACTATTATAATAATAATAATAATAATAATAATAATAATAATAATAATAATAATAATAATAAATAGCATTTGTATAGCGCATATCCCCGCTCATCAGCAGGCTCTATGCGCTTTACACTATATTATTACCCCAGCAGACCATAGAACACTCCGAAACATTCTCAGCTTCCCAGGAAGCATACAGTGCAAGCAGCTAATTAAGCGCTCAAACACTAACAAACTGACAAGATCTTCTACTGTCTATAGCCGGGTACCCATTCCCACCTGGGTGAAGTGAGGAAAATTCGTGTAAAGTGTCTTTCCCAAGGACACAATGTCGGGCCCTTGACGGGATTCGAACACACAACCTTACGGTTGCGAGTCCGATAGCCTAACCACTGGCCACCGACGCCACTATCCCAGCAGTCTCTAAATAACTCAGAAAACATTATCTGTTTCCTGGAGAGAATACGATATAAACAGCCGATTAACCCTCTCGGTACGTCGTGTTTTACTATCATATCCAAACGACGTGGGGAACTCTGTTCCACCACTTTCCAAACAAGAAATTTACTCGTTAATCCGATCCGCACGCTTTGCATAGCAGTCTGCCAAATTGATTTTTTGAGAAATACTGGAACCCTCAAAGAGATCTTCGCACTAGAAGTATTCTAAAATGTGAAGAATACAACTCTGGGGGTCCAAAATAACCCCAGGGTGTACGTATAGGGTTCAGCGTTCCCACACTAGCGAACTGACCAGATCGGTCGATGTCTCTCACAGAGTACCTGTCCCACCTGGGTGAAGTGAGGAAAATTGGTTCAGAGCGCCTTTCCTTAGAGTACATTATAAAATCGAAAGAGCTCGAACCTACGACCGTTCGGTTGTGAGACCAACAGCCTGACCATCAAACCAAAGACACCACATTACATCATCATTAAGCATTATCATCATCATCATCATCATCATCATCATCGTCATCGTCATCATTATCATCATCATCATCAACAACAACAACATCATCGTCATCATCATCCAGTGCCAGATCTGCGACAGACATCGGTGATCATGGTTTTCCATTCATTCCTTTGCTTGGATCCTCTCAAAAAAGCTAAGTTTCCCTGATCTTTCCCTGTTACCCATTTGTTCAGGTTCCCTAAGTATATTGTTCTGGGCCTACCCCTGCCTCGCTTGCCTTCAATTTTGCCTGTGAGAGCTAGATGTTCAAGACCCTTATGTCTATTCAGGTGTCCCAAAAACTGCATTTGTCATTTCCTGATTGTTTTTAACATTGAGCGTCCCACGTGGGCTTCATCAAGCACTACCTCATTTGATTTTCCTTCCACGATACTCTTAGCAGTCTCCTAAGAAACCACATTTCTGTTGCTTCTATTTTATTTTCACTGTCTTTAGTGATTGTCCAGCATTCACAGCCATATAGAAGGGTTGACCAGACAGAGCATTTCATGACTTTCATACATACTCACACAACAACTCAATTAAAATGTTAGGAAGGAGAAAAGCAACCAATATCAAATAATACAACACTTTTTAATGTTTAAATACACACTAAACGATGCATTATCTCCTAGATACATTTAAAAAGAAATAGATAAAGAAAGAAAATAAAAACAAAAACAACGTTTATAAAAACCAGATTAAGACAAATAAAATTATATAGTTTACAATTTTTAAAGTAGATAAAAATAGCATCTTATATAATATCATGAAAAGGTCATCCATTTAAGATAGTCTTTATTACGACTTTTCCACTTGTAGATATCTAGATTGTTTTAAAGAAAGAAAAACAGTAAAAATGCATCACTTAGTTTTTTAGAGACAGAGAGATGATCGAAAAATAATTAATATGATATATGAAAACGAATGAGATCTAAGAACTAGAAATAGAAAGAGTGGGTATCAGAGGTGGATGGGATCAGAGAATAGGTAAAGGAGATGAAAGGAGATGTGTGAGGCATCGTGGTGAACTCAGGCGCTCGTCAAAATAATTAAATCAAAGAAATCAGCATTTTTGGGGGCCGGTCGGAATGTTTTTGTTTGTTTTTTTGGCTCAACACCATTTTGCACCCATTTAAAACCACATTTTTGTGTAGATTTTACTGAAAAACATTGATTAAAGGCACTAAAATGGAAATTTTTAGTTTCCAACGACTCTCAGGCTATGGAAGTTATCAAACTGTGCAGCCATTTTCTCACTAGTTTTACCTTTGAGACCAGACGACTCTGACTTTCTTCAATCGCAAATATCTCTACTTCTATTCAAGATAGATGGGTATTTTTTACTGAAAGGAAGGCAAATGAACAGGCTTTAGTTAAGATGATACCAATAACCCCCATATGGCAAAAAATTGACGAGCACCTGATTCCTCCACGTCGTAACATATATATGGAAAGGGATAAACGATAAGGGGAGGTTGGGGGGGGGTGGGGGTAGGAGGATCAGAGGATGGGTTAGAAGAGAGGGGATTTTGAGAAGAGGATGGAGGATCGAGAAAAAAGAAGTGATAAGAAGAGGGTATGTGGAAGGAGTAAGACGATAATAGGAAAGGGAAAGGGGATGGAGTAGGACAGGAGGAGGGAGGAGACGAAGTGATATAAAGAGGGATTGGGAGAGGGGATAGAAGGACAGGATAAGAATAGTGATAAGTGAAAAAATAGGGCAAGGAGGTAAGAGATGAGGTATTGGGAAGAGGCAAAAAGAACTAAATAAATAAGAGGGAGTGACGGTATGAGGCGATGGAAGGAGGAAGAGATGAGGAGATGTGAGGAGAAGGACGAGTAAGCTGTGGACAGTCGACTCCATAGCAATAACCAATCTACAGGTTACATCACATAATCGTTTGTGTTTGTGCGTGTGTGTGTGTGTATGTGTGTGTGTGTGTGTGTATGTGTGTGTGTGTGTGTGTGTGTGTGTGTGTGTGAGTGAGTGTGAATGTGGGTGTACGTAATGTATATGAGCGTGTGGGCGTGTATATAAATGAATGCGTGCGTATGTATGTGTGTATGTTTGAGACTGTGTATGGTTGAGTGAGTGCTGCTTGCACGTATGTGTGAGCTACACAGAGCCAAAGACACACACCCTCCACATAGATCTACACATCTACACATCTACACATAGCCGGCCGCGCTCTTACTGGGGTCAAAGGTGGGCCCGTCGTCCACATTCTCCACATGACGAAAGGTCTTCCTCTCTTTCTCCACGGAAAGTACAGCACCGTTGATGTTGTCTAGGTGAAGAAGCTGTAGAAGGCCTTCTGCCACTATGTGGGGTCTGTGTGTGTGTGTGTGTGTGTGTGTGTGTGTGTGTG